ACCTGACAGACACCCCAGAGCAAAGCCTACACAAGAAGTCTCTCCTCTTTAGATTGAACTATCAGCAAACTAAATTAATCCACATAAAATTAAATGGGAACTAAGGAAAGCTTATTTAGCCCACTGAAGCAACCTACAAGCAAAATAAAGATTTCTGGTAGAATTTCACTGAGGTAAAATGCAAGAATTGTTTTAAGTCACAACTGAGGACCACCAAAACAGTCACACTTACATCGTCTCTCCAGTCTTAGCAACATGACAAAGAAACTGATCCAGTATTGGACACACTTCCTTCTTTCCTCTCTTCTCAAAATCTGTTGGCATGAGAACGACATAAAAAGAATGGTAAAAGAAGACGGGACAGAACAAAAATCCACAATAATTAGCGATTTGCTTCAACTATCAGTACAGCCCCCACACGAACACTTTTGTGCTCTCACAATGCTCCGGCTGTTCCCATGAACTCCACCAGCTTCCCAGCCCTGGGAAACACTTATTATTTTTCCTGCGGAGAAACCGCACGCACTAGAGTAGTAAAAGTTGATTTGCAACTTCTTCTGAGCAGCTACGGCACAGAAAGAGGCTGATTTCCTCAAGCTGAGCCCAGAACAGAGAGGGCTGGGGAGGGAGAAGGGGACAGGTCCGGGCTGGGCCGGGATGCGGATAAGGGGCTGGGATGCGGGAGAAAGGGGAGGAATGAGGGAGAAAGGGCGGCCAGAGCGGGGAGTCCAGGGCGGCAGCCGGGGCGACCCGAGATCCCCCCTCACGCAGCCCCGAGGGTCGTTGGGTTGGGAGATCAGGGGCTCTGCCCTCCACTTCCCCACAACGATCCGCAGGCTCTCCCCACTCTGCGGGCCCACCCAAGCGAGCAGCTCCCTCCCCACAGCGCGGGGACCCGTCGCCCCCAGCGAGGGGCGCTCCCCCCACAGGGTTTGAGGGACCTCAGTCTTCCCCTCAGCGCGGCGACACCGCTCCCCCACCCCCCGCCGCCAGCTTCGCCGCCACCTTTCAGCGCCTCCTGCAGCCTCTCGACGTCCATGATCCGCCCGGGCGATTCCCCCGCGGCTCCGCGCGGCTCCCCCGCCCCAGTCCCGCGCAGACCGGGCCGCGCTCTCAGCAAGACCCCGCGCTCAGCGACGCTCCAACATGGCGCCCGCGCCGTGCCCGTGCGCGGCCCCGCGGCCCCGCCCGCCAGGGCGGGGCCAATGGGCGGTTCCGTGGCAGGGGCGGGGCTAATGGGGTCCCGCGTGAGGGGGCGGGGCCGGGGGCTGTGAGGGAGGGGCGGGAAACGCGCGGGAAAAGCGGCGGGACAGGCTCGGCCTCAGCATCCTCACTGAGCGGCAGGGACGGTCTGAGGGCGGCTCTGGGCTTCTTTTCCGTTCGCGGGTTATCGTCCTCCTCATGCCTGCCCCGCCATGCAGATCCTCAGGATTGCGGAGCCATCCCCTTGCGCACCTCAGCCCCTCAGGGAACTCTAGTTCTTTACTCCCCGCTTTCAGGCAGAGAGCGACCGCGGCGCCCCCTGCCCACCCCAAATCCCAGTTTGTGCAGGGACATGCCTGTCTTTTTATTCTCAAGAAGATCATAGAAGATGCTCCATTGGAAGGGTCTCACCATCCAGGCCAGCTGCTCACCCTGCACGGACACCCCAGCACTCCCACCCAGTGCATCCCTGAGAGCGTTGTCCAAACGCTCCTGGAGCTCTGGCAGTCTTGGAGCTGTGACCATTCCCTGGGGAACCTGGGCAGTGGTTCCACCGCCCTACCCAGTTGCCCCTTGGAGGACAAATCTTTCCTTAATATTCTGCCCAAACCTCCCCAACAACTTCACGCCATTCCCTCGAGTCCTGTCCCTGGTCATGGGAGTGAAGCGATGGGTACCTCTCCCCTCTGCTTCCCCTCATGAGGATGTTGAAGATCCCAATGAGGTCTCCCCTCAGACCCCTCCAGGAGACTCATCCCACCTCTCCCACCCTGGCACACATTCCCTGGGCTCCTGGGATGATCCCTTCGCTCATTCTGTGCTAGCACTTGGCTCTGGGGAGAGAAGCCCTGGCAGACCCGTCAGTCTTTCCTGGCCAAGGGCACGAAGTGAGGCAAAGAGTAGATGAGAGGCTCTAACGCAGCCCCCTCTACTAACTGGGAAAGATTGCAATTCACAGCAAATCACCTCTTCCTTCCATTTGCAAAACTGAAACATCTAAACGTAATCCTACAACACAAAAAGCTTGTAGGTGGTTTCATCATCAGTTTGTTGTGAGATCTCAGGCAAAGGGGTGAGGCAATCACACCTGAGCTTCTTCATTAATGAAATATAAATGGTAATTACTCCTTGTAAGGCATTTGACACACCTTGTAATAAAAATGTACACAGAGAGGATGATTTCATTTTGTGTCAGTTCCCAGCCTGTTTGTAGATTATTCACTGAGACCCAACAAGAATAATCACGTTGTTGGGAAAGATGTGGTGGTTTAAACACCTAACTAAAGAACAATGAGAAACTGTTTTACAATCCAGGCTGGTTTTTTGTTTTTTTTCTTGCACTAAACTTACACAAAGCCTTGTTAAGATTTACGTTTTAGATTTAAAAACATATTTTTTGAGAGTTATAGGCTGTCCAACCCCTGGACACAGATCAATAATTAAAATCACTTGTGGTATATGACCAGCAGGTACTTCTCCTCTCAAAAATGAAGCTTAGATTAGGTATCTAGAGATCCCTGACCCAACTTGACTTAAAGCAGTTTCTCTTCACTGATGTGTGACAGCAATTTGCAAGGTATTTCCACCCAGTTTGAACAAAAATTGATTGTTGTGCTTTGAAACAATCTGTAGCAATTCAATACAGCATTCAAGCAAGGGAGATGCAGCAGAATCCAGTGAAAACAATAAGAAAATGAGAACAATCTTACATTTCAAGACCCACTTGGGTCTTCAGAAAATATTGTAGATCGATACACATTAAAGGATTTACAAAAGGAGCATAGAGATTTTGTTTGGTTTGTTTAAATTTATAGCTGCAGAAACCTGAGTATGGGTACAATAATTTGACACTAAAAATCATGGCTCTCTGAACCATCCAGAGTAGGAAAGTGTTTGTTTTTTTTCTTTGAAGTATATCACAGCTACCTCGAGACAAATTATGTTTCTCCTCTGTGAAAATGACTAAAAAATCTTTATTGTGCTTTTAAAAAATCTGGAAGACTTGGGAGTATCGAAAGACAAGAACAGCTCACACACAGTGCCTTAAAAAAAGAGGCTGAAAACAGAAAAATGGTATTTGTGGGAGCTGGTGTTTCTTGCGAAAGATTACCCACAGGAGATACAAAAAAAAACAAGGAATAGCCAGATGTGACAAACATTCCAGGCTTTACCTGGCTCAGCCACTGACCCCAGCAAATCCCCATGGATTGTCTCCTGTTAAGCCAAGCGCCCAAGGTAAACTGGCCGGCAGTTTTCTTTCCAAGCTGTATTTAACACCTTCCTCACAGTATCTCCCCGGGACAGGAGCTTCCTGACATCACAAACTACAGAACCAGTCAGACTAAAACCAGCCTTCTTTTCTCACCTGGAGCTCAGGTGTGAGGAACCCTGGTGCCCTTTGGAAGTGTTGAGCAGAATGGGAAGATTTTCCTTGAAGGTGTGAAACCTGAGAATGCACCTGTTGTGCACAGTTCAACCCTCGCAGGAGGGAATTAACATTTTCACGAGGATTCAGGAAAAGATTTAAAAAACAGGTCTTTAAAATGTAATTTCTGTATCATTATTTCAGTGTTAGTTCAGTATTAGTTACCAAAACTATACATACACACTTTTGGGTTATAAGATAGTTTTCACAAAGTAACAGCAGCAGCAATTAAGGCATATTTACGGAAATGTGAGAGTCAAACTAAAATATTTTACCTCAAAAGAAAACATTAACAAAGCGCTTTGTTCATCTTCAATGCTGAGCCTCAATTTGGTGTTTTGTCTGGATTTTCATTTCAAAGGAAGTGTTGACAGTTTGGTTTGTATTCTCATCCAGAATGAAAGCAAAATTTCCCAACACTGCTCCGTCTTCTGAAGCTCAAATAGCAATTCCTTACCTCTTGCCAGCGGGAGGTGCAGGCTGATCCCAGCACACACAAGCACTTGTCCCAAGAGCAGTGGGGGAATGTTTCCAGCCTCTGCAGGGCTCCTGGTATCCTGGTGACTGTCTCATCCTATCTCACCTCTGGAGGGGTGCTCACAATTTCTTACCATCACTATTTATTGTATCTGATGGAGAGGAAAAAAGGATTCTCTGGCAGTTGATAAAGTGTCAAGTTGTTTTGTTTTTTTTTCCAGTTGCTTGTACTTTATTCCCAACTCGGGAAATCTCTCTTCTCCCCACACCAACACTGGCTGGAGCCACATTTGCAAGTGAAAAACCTTGGATCACCAAGCAGTGATTACACTGTCAGTGTGTAACACACCCCACACACCCACAGCCTTTCTAGAACTCACCCACAGGCTGGTGTTCTAAGCTGGCCCACCTCTGCCCATCAAGGTCAATGACAGTTTTATCCCTATTTTGACTTCAGAGAGCTGAGGCTGAGCCCAACACCCAGCTGGAAACAGTGTCAGCACCACCAGGGTTGTGCTGAACAGGCAGCCCAGGAGATTCTGTCACACAGAGATGGCACAAGCAAGGACAGCACAGCAGTGACCATCCAAGAATGTCAAAAAATGCATACAAGAAGGAGGGAGGGGAAATGCTGCTAAATTACCTCCAAGGAGTGAAACATAATGGAGAAACAGTAAAGAGTAAAAGATAAAACTCCAGTTTCCTTTGAGAGAAGGTTTTGATCTATGCTCACCGTAACACAACTGGAGCTGCAGCATGACACACGAGCACTTTGGGGGAAGTTAAATGTATTTGTCTCTTTATATCCAATATCAGACTCTTTCACTACAGTAAAACTGCAAAAGAGGAACATTTATTGTGTTCCCTGCTGTCAAACCCTGTATATGCACACTATAACAGCACACCTACAAAACTCTATCCCAACCAGACCAACACAAAAGCTTGCATTTAAAAGAAACCTAACAAATTACAGAGCTTGCTTAAAATTTCATTTATTTGTATTGTAAGCCAAAGGACCATCCCCAACCCAGAAATGCACTGCTCAGCCTCCTTGGGAGCTGTAACAATCAGTGCACTTGTCAAAGAAAAATCCACAAGCAATTCAGTGGCAGAGAAAAGGGACATTTTTCACATACATGCTCGTGCTGTGTACACACACACACACACACACACACTGAGCAGTTTCCAGTTTCCCCTGTAAGCAAAATGCTGGTGAGCTCTATCCATTATACCATTGGAAATAACTAAAACACAGGGGAGGAAGGGGAAATGAGGACATAAAGTCTTTGTAAGTATTTACACATCCTATTATTAAGATAAATGAAGGCTAATTAACATGGAATTAGCCACAAGTACGAAATACAAAATGAATTAAAACTGGTTTCTAAGTAAGATGAATATTACAATCAGCTACTGTTAAAGCTAAAATATAACATAGTTTTGGAAGCTGTAGTGAAATATAAATTAATAATTCTAACAACAACAAAAAACAAACTTACATAATTGTTTTAAAACACTTTGGAGAGCTCAAATTATTGCTTTTTTCCTCAGAAAAAGCCCAGCAGGGGGGAACCTCCCCCATTCTTCCTGCCCGCTGACATTACATTAACAAGAGTCTTCATGTTAAAGCAAGTACTTCATATATTTAATAGCTGTTGAAAACATAACTCAGTTCTTCCTAAACAAAATGTAGCACCTCCTGTGAACATAAAAAGCACTGCTTTAATCTCTAATCAGTTCATATGCAATAATGCCTTTGTTTTGTAATGAATTCCTCTCCTGGATTTGAATGTGCCCGCAGTTGCAGGGTTCCGCTGAATCACAGCTTACACAACCACAGCCTCCAAAACTCCAGAGCCTCAGCACTGGGGCTGCAACTGTCTGGGCAGCAAGACTTTGCTCTGCAGCTTTCTGTGGCTTGGAGACACCATGGAAATCAGGAATTCTGCCCAGCATGCAGCTCCACCAGCCTCGTTAGACCTGCATCAGCTTTACCCTGATACTTGAAAATAAAGACCAAAAGCAAGTTAATACTTTATACAAGCTCTCAGAATTGCTGGCCTGAAGGTTTACCTGTCATACATTTTTTTAAATTTTTTAAATCAGCAGCGTTTACCTTCTTTTCTCTGCCTTCTGGTTCTGAAATCTTCAATGCCCTTTTGGGTTACATTTCAAACTCCTCTCAGTAGGCAAAAGTGTACTCGTTTAAATTGGCAACTGAAATTTCAGCTGAAATAGAAAATCCTACGACAAGTTGGAAAGGCACCTCTGCTCAAGTTTAAATGACTTTCTGTGTCCCAGGCTTTCAATCACAACAGTCCAGCTGCCTCTGTGTCCTTCACATGTCAATTTACACTCAGGTGGCAAACACTGTGAGATAAGGGCTGGAGTCAGAACACATTGTTTAATCAAAGTGTGATTACGATTTGCAGCAGAGGTGCAAACAAGGTTTCTGTTCCTGTCATGCTGTGAGGTGCAGCAGCTCTGCTGTCCCTCACTCCAACGCCCCTGTCCCACCACTCCCCCACTCAGCTGCCCGCAGCCCTGCTCTCTGCCAGGCGGTGTCACACTCACACGCCAGGGTTTGGGAAAAGACTGCTGGAACTCCATCCTATGTGCAGGCTCTTATCTGTCAGCCTGGGATGGCACCAAGGTCGTGTTTTCCCTCCTCTCTGGAACTGCCAGACGAGGAGAGAGAAATGTGCGAGCTAAAAGGGAGACTCCTGGAGTCTGTTTTCTTATGAAACCCTGCATTAGTCCTGACTGGATAGGGGAGAATGCCCAAAACTGCAATTCCTCAGAAATCTTATTTTAACTTTGTGAATGTATCCTTTCTCTCATAAACAGTCCCCAGGCATTTCTCTCTAACAAATGCATGATACATGCACAGGATATCCCATCTGTGCCAGTTTTCCTTTCATTAGGGGAAGGCTTCATTATCTCACCCTGCTCACCCCACTCCTACTTTGCCTGTTAAAAAAAAAAAATGAGCAGTTCCAAGTCATGGCTGATGTTTTCATGTTTCAGTTTTCTGCTGAACAGACTTGAAGAGTAACATCATTTTCTCTCCTGCTTCCTTGAAGCACTCCTACACACACCTTTGGGGCTTACACCTAGAAAATGCCCTCTGGGAGTCTGCTCTTGGATTGTTGCTCTTCAGGAGTGAGTTTGCTCTTGGATCTGCTCTGTAGGAGTGTCCTCACTTCCAGTTCCCCAGGGACTGGTCCCAAGCACCTTTCAGCTACTGCAATTTAAACAAGCTCTTTGTGCATATCACAAGATGATGATCATACTTTGGAAGTTGAAGCTAAATTAAGTATTTTAAATAAACATCAAAACCATCTTGTATCCTCTTCCAGTTTAAGGCTATTCATTATGATCCCAGCATAAAGACCCCGACTTCCCCATCCCTGGAAGTGTTCAAGGTCAGGTTGGATGGGGCTGGAGTAACCTGGTCTAGTGGAAGGTGTCCCTGCCCAAGGCAGAGGGTGGAACAAGATACCCATAATGGTCCCTTACAGCCCAAACCATTCCAGAATTCTCTGTTTCTGTGATCCCAGAAATGGAAGCACAAGGCAGAAACACATTTCCATGCAGAAGAGGGGAGTCAAGGGGCAGCACTGGCCATCTCCCAAGGCAGGGATGGAAAACTGTCTGGCAGTAAAATACCACCGTTACTGTGCAGGGAATAGCACTTGAAGAGGAAAATGGATCAATAGTACCTGGGTTTGTACTCTTCATTGACAACAGTCCTGGACTGTGCCTAATGCAATTCACATTGCCAAGCCAGAGAATACATTCTTAACTGTAAAGGACTGGGGAGGCAGGCCACAACTGTACTCCACAAATAAAGGATTCCCCTGCTGTTCTCAGCAACAATCTCAGTAGGCTTCTAGGATTTCCTGCATTTTTTAATTTCAAGGGTTATTAGAAAATTGGAAAAAAAAATATTTTAATTCTGAGTTTCAGTAAAAGAGCTCATATTCTTCATTTATATCCTTCATGAAATAGAGTATAGGACTTAAAACTTCTGTGTAAGAAGAGAGCTACAGTTAGTATCTGTGATTGGCCCCCAAGTACACAATTACACGATTTTCATACACCTTCTTCATAGTTTTCTCAATTTGCTTCAAAAATACTTGTGGAATTCTCCCACATAAAGTGTGCACTGTATCCAGAAACTTCGACTGCAGAGGGTAGTACAAGGACTGGAAGAGATTGTCTTCAAATGGAAACTGAGGAAAAGAAAAAAAAAATTGTTTTTACTACTTGTGAAAGGGCATTTTATAAGTTTCTGTAAAAGAAAACTTTCCATAGGTAGCGAATGTCTTGTCCCTCACCTGCTGAGTGTCACCAACCCCATCACTTCACACCCTGCCTGAGGGTGTGAATTGACAGGAATTTTATTAATATAAGGATACTGTAAGAAAACAGGAATTTTGGCAAGCAGAGCTGTACACACACAACATCCCAAATGGACACTGGGCACTTGTCTGTGGACAAGCTTCTGCCCTGCATGTGCCTGGAGGCTTGAGGTGCTCAGGAAGGAAAAGCTTTCCCTGGGAATTTATGGACCAGAGCTGCAGCCCCAGCATGAGAAACTCTACTCCAGCATCTTTTTTCTACCTTTAGTATTATAAAAAAGCAATTTTTTATTACTATAATACAAAAGAGAAATGTTTAAACCATCTCAAATGCATAAGAGACCAAAGCAACCACGTTCATTTGTGTCTGGTGGGTTTTACACAAACACAACCAGCCAGGCTGCTCGCTGGCAGAGCAATCCGAGCGAAGCAGGAATCCCCACTGGGACAACACAAGGAGTGGCTGTGTGGAGGCAACACTTACATCCCGGATCACCTCGTAGAGGGCCTTGAAGGTGGGCTGCTTGTCATCGTGGTACACGCCTCTGTTGCCGTGCAGGATGGAGACCCCCTCCTCCTCCGCCCCCCTGCAGTTGCTGCCGTACATGCAGTGGTCGGGCCGGTAGTTCCACTGGCAGGGGAACACGTACAGACATTCTGCCCTCGACAGCAGGGCACAGGGAAGGAGGAGAGACACGTCAGACAAGAGTTACAACAAATTAAACCAGCCTGGGACTGATGGTCAGGGAACACTCAGCTGTATCTTTTGCAAGTACCCCCACTTCCTTCCCTCGTGCGTGACTCCACTCCCCACCTGCTGGTCCTGAACAGATGGGACAGCACAAAATCTGGGACCAAACACTGCCCAAGGGAGCCCCTTAGGAAGCTGGAGTGGAACAATAAAAAGCAGAGGACACAGCAGGTGACATTGTCCAGCACCCTCTGCCATGGGAAGGAGTTTCTGGAGCAACAGGAACAACTGGGGAAGCACACACTGCAGTGAGGGTCATGAAAGATCCGGACTCCTCCTGGAGCCAGCATGGGAAAACCTGCAAAGTGTCTCCAGTGTTTGCTGCTGAAGCTGTCACAGAGGTCATGACAATTTGTTACACAGCAGAGCATAAGGGGTGGTGTATTTTATCCACAGCACTCCAAAGAGTCATCATCCATTAATTTCACAGGTCTAGGTTATTTAGAGACGAGCCTAATTTCTCAAAAGGCCTCATAACTTGCTTTCTCCTAGTGATTTTTTTTTAAACTCTGTGCACACAGTGCTTGCAATCTGCTTGTCATAAATCACTTTAGTCCCTGCAACCTTTCTGCCTCGGCTCTGGGGAACAATGAATCATGGCCGGTGCCAGCTGGGCATGGCAGAAGCACTGAAGATTGAATTCTTCCCTTGGCCTTTTACAGCTTCCCAGGAAGCCTGCAGTTGGTCCTGTGTGGTTCTTGAAAAGCAGTAGAAAAACTTTCTGAACTTTTCTTCCCTTAAGGCCTCTCCAGCAGAGTTCTCCAGAAAGGGAGAGCAGTCTTTGGAGATGGGCAAAGGGAGCAGTTCCTCATGCCTGGGTAGCAGAGCTCTCTGTGGTTTTAACTCACATCTACAAAAAAGCACCTGCAGCAGTCTTGGCCAATTCCCTCCCTGGCCAGTCTCAACAACCCAGAGCCTAAGACCCCAGAAAGTCCAGTTTTCTTTGTTAATCTTATCCAGTTCTTTTGTTTTCTTTTCTTGAGCAGTCTGATATGCAATTCATAAAAATATTCTTTACCAGTTCTGAGGAAAGGACAGACTGTGGCGCAGAGGAGTCTCCACGTGTAGCTTTGATAGAGAACACTCGTCACAATATTGAAGTATTTTTGCAGCCTTTGTTTTTTTCCTGCACACTTCAGTGAACAGCTTGAATCTGACTTCACAATTAATCTGGCTCCATCTTTTTCTTTCTCCCGGAGACCATACTCCCATAACACTAATTTCTTTTTGGAAATTAATTCCCACTGTATTTTTCCCTAGGACTGGGGATAATCTATGGTGTACCAGGACACTGATGTTTGACATCTGCCTGCAGCAAACAGATGCTTGCCTTTTTGCTTTGCTTCTCCTCACTCCAGCAGTTTGCCTGGATTTGGGTATATCCAATTACCTACCCTGTGACTCCTCAGAGAAAAAGAAAAGGGAGGAGAATAAATAAAGATAATTCCAAACTTGGTTTAACTTAAGGTGACAAGGTCACATAAGAAACCAGGAGAAGCAGTAGGGACGGATACTCAGCATCCATTTAGAAGCATGAAATAAGGTTCTCAGCTTCTCTGGGAAGCGTGTGGTATGCTCCAATGTTTAAATCCCTGCATTTCTCACCAGCAGGACATCGATGACATCATCTGCTGCCTGCTGAGACTGGGTCACTTGGCTCAGAGGCTGGAAGCTGCTTTAGATGAGATTTTCCAATGGCTGTGTCCACTTTCTGTCTATATTAACTTCCTTACTTATTTGCATAAGTATCACAAATCAGCTGAATTTCAGAAAAACAGGTTTAGCTTTGCAGAAAGTTTGGCACTTTCACATTCAGATAAATATCTGAAACAAAAACATTTTTTCAGCTACACTCTGGTCCAGTGACACCCTGAAGCACACACACAACACGAACTTCATCCCTTCACTTCATCATTAATTTTATACCTCATTATTTTCTCAAATCCCCAGAAAACAGATTTACATATCCAAGAGAACCAAGTCCAAGCCCCATTACCTGCAGCAATGTCAGAAATATTTTCATAGGTTATAAATCCTTTGAGGATGCAGTCACACAATAATAAATAAATTCAACTAATAAATACCAGAGTATTTATGCATATTGTAACTAACAAATAGCAGTTTAAAAAAATATCAAGCTCCAGATATTTTCTTAACACAGACAGATAATGATGACTCTGAGAATCACTCCTTACCTGGGTTAAAGGAAAAAATGATATTTAGCAAATCCTGGTCTCCCCACGTGATGTAATTTTTGTACTTTTGGTACAATGGATATAACATTTCCTCCCAAGTCAAGCCACCTGGTATCAAGCTGTTCTGCAGGGCAGGCAAACAGAAGCAAGGGGTTAATATCATGATCAGTGCTGTGGTATCTGACCCAGAGTCAGCACACACAAATCTCTAAGTTCTGCTAAGCCATGTTGGACACCCAGGTGAAAAATGAAAAAGTGCCAGGAAATGTTAGACGTGGACAGGGCTGTAACAGCAGAATTCAGTGTTTATCTAAACAGGAAAACAAGGTCTCCTGGGCCCAGCTCTGATGTCAGCTCCTGCTATTCAAAATGTTCTCACCTTGAACTGAGTGCTGCGGATCCGTGTCAAATTCATCAGCATCACCCCGGAGTTGATGCCGGTGGTGCCATAATAGGGGTGACGGGCGAAGCGGCTGTACCAGCCAATCTTGGGGATCTCATGCTCAGGGGCCATGGCAGCCAGCTGGGTGGAGTTGAATTCTCTCAGGAGGTGCCAGATGTCATCGATGGGCCTCAGGAACAGCACATCAGTGTCCACGTAAAGCAGGGAATCCACGTCCTTTAAAATCACCTTTGGGGTTTGAGCAGCGGGATGAAAAACAAATCAGAGAGACAACAAACACAAAGATTATTGGCAAAAGGCACTTTTACTTTAAACTGATCATTTGGAGGTTATTGACTTATCAGCAATGTAATTACACAGAGGAACAACAGTTATCAGATTATTGGCTTGTTGTTTGCTGGGGTTTTTTTGAACTGCACAATAAAACAGCTAGCAGAACACTGAGGTTGGATTAACCTTCTTATGAAGCATCAATTCACAGAGCTCCCAGAAATACCTGCAAGGACTGCTTAGTCCCTGCTCAGAAATAACATGTAAATAAAATATATTTGCAGAGCTATTTCCAACATCTATAACTGGTGAAGCATACAGTGTTCTCCACTGGCAGAAAGGATAACCCAGGAGATCAGAATATTTAGACTTACCTTGATATATAACTAATATATACCACTGTTTCACATGAATTAAGACAACCCCATTGATCACCAATATATGTGCATCCCACTGAAGAACAAAATTTGGTTGTTAAACAGAAATATCACATTAAAGCATACCAGGTCGTATTCTGAGCTGTTACCAGATTCTGTATCAGGAATAACCACAGTAAAGTTGGTCAGGTCAGAAGGATGAAACTGCAGCTTAAAGCCAGGATATTTCAGTGGTTCCTGCTGACCATGTTCCCCCTTGTGGCTGCCCAAATCCTTACACACTCCTTCATTAATATCCATCCTGTGACAAATCACCTGGTGCTCCAAGTCTTTGTAAAGTAATAAACATCCCTACCTACAGCTGGCCACCAGTTCCAGCCACATTTTTACTGCTCTTCTTCATTATTTGCTAAATCTGTCCAAAATTTCCTGAAGGACTGAAATCTTTTTATTTTGGTCTAGCCAAAAACCCTATTTACTTCTCTGTCTTTGAAAAGCAAACCCAAAAGGCTTTGGATTTTCATCATGTGTAACACAATAATCATTATCATCCAACTGCAATGACATTAATGACAAGCTCTCCTATTTGTGCAGGTTACAAGAAATTCTACCAAAGAAATTAGGCTTTACATAAATGCTAATGTATTGTGACTGAGGATTACCTGTGAAATAGAGTGAACAACATTAGGATTTTCAACAAGTGGGTGAAAAATATCACCTCTAAGCGTGCTCAACAGGAATCCACTAAGATGCCAAATCCATGAGTAAAGACTTAAATGAGATTTTTCACCTGACTGAACACTTTGGCATTCAGACTGACATTTAGTCAAGTTTAACAAATCCCTGACCTGTATTTCTGACAGGATAACTACATGTTCGTCCTACAGAACAGGGCAAGCAGGAGAAGGAACTGTCTCTGCATTTTAAACAAAATTTATGCTCACAACAAACTCTAAGTAAACACATCCAACACAATCCAGATCTCTCTGCTGGATGGAAGATTATAGCAATACAGCATTTTCCCACCCAAACCAGCATGTGGAGGTATCAGTAAGTAAGTGACAAAAATAGTTCAGTAATACACTAAGAGCTCAGAGTAAACATTTGCAGATGTTAAGTATCCTCAAATCCAGTACTAAAAAACTAAACCAATAAAAAAAACAGCTGCTGTAACAGTAAATCAATAGAAGAAAGACAGTCTGAAAGGAAGAAAAGTTTTCTTTTTATTGTGTATTAATTATTCTGCAGCACCCAGGAGCCCTGATTCATAGGGACCTGCTATACGAAGGCACATTAAATCAAAATACATTAAAAAAAAAAAATCACCCCCAAATTTAGTCTGAGACAGGAGGTAACACTGGAATACAAGCAGAGCAGAAGCTATTAGACTTTGCCTGGGAATTCACAGCACACTGCAGACCATATAAGATTTTTGTCTAAGGAGGCCCTGATAAAAAGGCAAATTGAGGCATTTTTCAGCAGGAAAAAACCCAGTTCAGGGGGAAGTTTAACAGGGGCCTACAGACCCTCCTCATCCTTCCCAAGCATAAGCAACAGCCTGGACACTGCTTCTTCCAGCAGAAAAACATTCTTTCAGCAGCTTTCAATACACAGAAAAATTTAAATCTGTGGAAGTCCACAGACTGTAGTAACTTTCCTACAGATTCAAGCAGGTATTTCAGTTTTTTGTGCAGTGCTTACCAGCACCTGACCCCACCTTGTACTCCTCCTCTCAGGATTCACATGCTCTTTCTGCTGGTTAAAAAATTCTTTCTCCTGTGTCCAAGGTGTTGCCCTGCAGTGACACCCAGCTGGCTAAAAAAAGCTGTGCTACCTCCTTTAAGCCCTTCCCACTTTCACATATTGAGTGTTAAGTCTCCTTTAAAACCTGCAGATGTCAGTTTGAATTGCTCACATCTCTCCTGGCTGTGCCTTGGGTAGGGGGGGATTTAATTTCACCAACTGCAGCTGTAGGAGTTCCTCACAGAGCAGGAACCTGCAGTGCAGGTTAAAAGTGACATGCTGTGACCTGGAGCAGGAGCTCTGCCAGGCTGTGTCTGGAGGTCTGAACTCACACAAACCATGCAGACACACCTGACAGCCTGGGATTTTGGAAAGGGATGGCCAGAAATATGGTTTGCCCTGCTTGTCTTCCCCTTGCTCTGCAGGCTCTTACAGCTTAAAAGTGTGATTTTTTCTCTTTTTTTCACAGCTATATAGAGTATTCTTAGTAAATCTGTCAAAAAGTTCTGCACAGAACTGGCTATATTTAGCCTGGAACTTCTCTTAAATACTCAATTATCTGTAATTTGATTTCACAAATTCTGTCTCCATAGATTCTCCCTGTGTTAGCAAGGTTGGCAAGGAATAACACACTCCTGAGTAAACACACACTGGTGTACTGTGAAGCTGGACTACCTTAGGGTTTGTGAGGGCTCATGTGGCAGCTTAGCACAGCTTTATCCAAAATTAGGGACAAATCACTAAGCTTGATGCTAGAGTAACAGTGCCACAAAGTGGAGTTACTAAACCTCATTGTAGTAAGAGATTAACTCAAGTTACAGCAGAGACTTTTGTCTAGATAAGGCCTTGGCATCTATTCCCACTGGACTGGATACCTGAGCATCCCTCAAGAGGAAAGCTGTAACACAGGGATATTGCTAATCTATCTTAAAAGCTCTTAAGCAGATTAAGTGTTTTGAGAAGGGCTCTAAATGTTCATCCAAAAATCATCCAAAAATCCCTTAAGCATTTCAGGATACTTTAGCTGATTGTTTTCATAGCTCCAGAAGAGCAGCATGGAGACAGCTGCAGCCAGCCCTGAGGGACCAACATCCCTGGGACCAGAGAATGTTCCTCACCTGCTGTCTTAACACCCATGTCAGGAGTACAAACCAGCTCCCAGTGGCTGCTGAGAGCACTGCTCTCCTAATGTTAAAGTTTCATTCTGTGCTTACCAAAAGATCTCCATCTTCCTCCCTGTGTCTCTGCAAATGCCCTGGATGGTTTTATTGCAGCAGAGTGCAGCAAGAGATTGACTTGTGAGATTACACAGAGGCTCCATCTACATCCCCTGCATGTAAGTGGCAAATGTGATCAGATGTCTCAGCATGCCTCTGAAAAATACAGGATGCTGTTGAGTCTTCCTTAATATTTTAGCATCCTGGGTACAGTCAACAAGCTGGGAATGTGCACCTCAACCTGTTGCCCAGGACAGAACAGTTCAATACTGCAAACTGCAGGGTCACGTCCCACAGCTCTACTTTCATCACTGAGTAAAACCACTGAAAGGTTCTTATCCAATTTTTTCCCTGAACACATTCCTCAGACCCTCCTGTCCACTTTCACATGCCTGCTGGTGCTGCAGAGGAGATTTCTTTGCCAGGAGAGGCACTTGTGAATCAAAGACTCACATTCCACTCGGGCTTAGCATTATCAGGAGCAAGACAATTTGCACAACTGAGAGCTAAACAGCTGATAACTACTGCTCTCCTGGGGTCCTCCCTAAATCCAGGCACATTTCATGCTGCTGCAGGGAAAAACGCTCAGTGTATGGGGAAGGATTAAAAAAAATACTGATATTCTGGTGGTATTTATTAAAAATAAAAGTCAAACTAGCTCTCTAAACAGTAACACTTTGAACCTTCGATTCCCACTGTGTGCAGACAGTTCAAGTGGGATATCAGAACCCAGCTATCAAACACCAAAAAACCAAAATAATAGCTGGAATTACCCAGAAACAGCCCAAGGTTGTGTCAGCCTGTGAACTTGAGCACGAAAGCTCGAGGGTCCTACAGGACATCTGCCACCTCAGCTATGACTACAGCTTGTTTATTATACCCACACCAACTCCGTGTCAGCTGCAACTCCTCTTGGACAGCCCCTCCTACACAAAGCCATAAACCTCAGCCTGACCACACACAGTATTTTGCAACTGCCCCCAGAGAAACAAACATTTACAGTCCAAGCTGTCCCCTCATTCTGCTAACACAACATGCAACAGTCTAATATTCCTTAAAAGAAGTTACTAGAGAACATCAGCAACACGTGAGTGACAAAAAGGAATCAGTGAAAGCACTGCCCAGCCTGAAGCAATCAGCATGAATGCATAACCCCTTCCTGTCATCAGAACAGTGAAGAGAAATAAAAGTTAAGTCATTCCTGTGATTAGTCTCCCAAAATGACAGAAAGTATCACAGAAGAACAGAGATTTCTGTTTACCCAGGACACCCTGACACTGTATGGAATGAGTGAACGCTTAGGGATTATTTTCCAGGTGATACAAAATATTTACTCAGGGGAGAGAGGATCCCTGCTGCAGTTGGAGTTACTTCCAGCCCATCTGGCCTTTGTGCTGTTGATAGTCCACCCCTAAATGGCAGATCAGCAGAACTGCTGACAGCACATATTTTCTCACATATGTATTCACAGGCTACATATCTGGACATGCAGCTGTCTCCTGATTGCTTCCATCTGAGAGGGGAACGATTTCTTTGTGTTCACCCCCCACACTTCTCCTAAGACAGCAATGAAGAAATCTGGATCATGTGAACAGCTTGTCACTTCACTGGAGTCACCCCAATCAATAGCAACCCACAAGATATTTTTGATAGATGTTCTCAGTTCTACAGAAATTGCTTTATGCAAACGTTCTTTCAACTTCTGATATGCAAAATTGGGATCAACACTTCCCTTCTCTCCAAGTTTACGACACTGAGTATAATACAACTTTTCAGTGAACTTGAAGAGTCCAAGATACACCGAGCTCTTGCATGAAATCCAACTTCAAATACACTGGAGTTATTACCTTAAGGGCAATTCTGACAGTCTTGAAGAAAAGAAGCAAAACTCAAGGAAAACGCAGTGCTGGGAGCATCAGTTTAAGGGCTAACATATGGAAAGGAGGATGGTGGGTAAAGAGGGCATGTTGTAAAGAATGTTATTTACAAAAGGCACACAGCATCTAAATCAAAAAATCTGCCCCGAGAGAGCTCTCACACTCTCTCTGGAGCCTGGAGAGTGTGGAGAGCCCGAGAGGCTCATGGAACCGGAGACAAATCAGAAACACACATCCTTTGTTAGCCAGGAAAAAGCCAGGCTGGATTTCTGTGTTGTTTTTTTACAGTGTCTTAAAGCACAGACTAAAATTATCTTTAAGCAGATGTTTCAGCCTGAAAAAGGGTTTAATATTACACCAGCAAAGCTTCCTTTCTGTGGAATTAACCTTTTCCTGAAGCAACCTACTCAGAAATCCAGGTGCCTTACCGGAAGAAACAGGCGCTGGGCAGCACATGGTTTGAATAACTTTTTCCATTCCTGAGCATTTCCTACTGAGAAGGTTATTGGGTAAAAGTTGGACTCAAACTTCTTTGTATATGAGGAAGGCCACTCCTTTAACTGAAAGACATGGTGGGAAGAAATCAGACACTAAATGTTATAGAGCTTTTGTATAAAAAACGCATGCATAAGGAATTTATAACTGCGTACAGTAAACAACATGCTCAGCTGCTACTTGTTGATGTCAACATAATTTTCCTCAGAGGTTTGCAACTTATAACTAACTCATTTATTTATTTTCCAAATGACAAAGAAACTCACCTTCTTCTCAAATTCAGGCTTAAGGGAATCCTCAGCAAAGATGTGGAAGCAGAGCCTCCTGTTGCTGAAGAGAACTGCGGATTTCAGCATGATCAGCGTTTCCTCCAGCCGGTCCCCACATGCCACCACTGCCAGATGCATGCACTGCAAGGATGAGGGCTCCTTTGGATGTTTCTGCTCTCCAGGCTTCCTGAAAATTTAGGCATAGGCACATAAAAATTACTGAGGTAGACATGAAGAGAATTCCTCCTTAACAGGCATCAGTGTTGTTTTTTTCTTCGTCATTTTGCAAGAGATCAGGAGTTTTTTTCTGGCGAGATATTTACAGAACAAGCAGATAGCATGGTAATTTCTGTCCATGGTACAGATCAATAGTGTTACAATTACAGCATAAAGAAAAAGGCTGTTTTCTGTTATTCCTACATTTCTGGGTTTGCAAAAATCACTGGACTACAAACACAGATGAAGGCCATTTCACAGCACCTCAAACCAGACACCACCTTGCTCTGTGCAAACGACAGCTCTTTACCCAGCCCAGAGGTCAGGAAGCCAGAAGAGAGTCACGACTACCCAGCCAACTTTCTAACAAAATGTAGATCACACAACTGCATCCAGCAACTTCGTTTCCAAGCCCATAACGGCTAGACTGGAAGAAGACATCCATACTTTTAAAAAAAAACCCTCCATCCATATGAAAATTGTTCTAACAGTTAATTAATTTTGCTATTATAGATGCATGCCTTAATCCTGGCCTGAAGGTACTGGCAGAGTTTCAAAGGACTGCTCTCCATTTCACCCCATTGAATTCATGAGATTTTGCTAAATAGAGATTTCTGAAAACAAATATAGTCACATATCCCAGATGAATCATATTATATTCCAAGGGCCAAACTGTGGGATTTTCACTTAGCACCCACCTGTGTGGGCTTTAAATACATTTCATCCAGATATAGGGAACACAGTCAGAGGCACAATGAAGCTTCCTGCTAGCCAGAAAAATCAGGTTCTCCTGGGGAGTTGAAGACCTTCTGAAAATAGTCTTTTGATTCTGTTGTTTAGCATGGAGGTAAAAATTGCATCCTCCAGGAACGCTTGTACCATGGTGTATCCACATTCCAAGACAGATGGCACTGAGCCTCCACCACAGGGGATGGAGCTGACCAAGCAACTAATTCCCAGACACAGTAATCATTCCTGAAGAGTTCAAAAGGCAACTCATAGATCACTGCCTGCTCTGGACATATCTCTGAGCAGAGGACATCAACCCCAGCCCTGCTCAGGACACACAGTTACACACACACACACAGAATTAATCACTGAAGTTAATGCTACAAACAGAAGCTCTAAATAAAGAGAAAAATGACAGTTTTAAGATGTTATTATTTTTTCCAGACATTGAAGTGCTGCTCTGTGTAACAGCAGCATTCTACCCTTCAGAGTAACCTACCTCTGTGTAAAGGAACACCAAGCACTGGCACTTCACTGACTATAGAAAGCAACAGGTTTCCTTAAGGGTTTAAAACCTTCTGCTTTAGTCTTAATTAACCCCCAATGTCATCAGTGTATAAATAATGGAATATCACATCTATGTGAAGTGGTATTTACTTTCCAACCTATTAGTGTAAAAGTCGCTGAATTATTGACGTGAATAATTAGCTGCTCACACAGATCACCTTTTCCCCCTTCTCCCTATCTGTGTAATGTTTCCCCTTAACTGAGTCTCTAAATCAAGCCATGCACAGGCTGGGAGCTGCTTTGATGTAGTTTCTGGCAATGGAACTTACTGGGAGAGGGACTAAACCCTGCACTTTTATTGCAACATTTCAAAACCCCACACCAAAGCACTGAGCTTTCCTGGGCAATTTTAGCCACAGTGAGCTCTGCATTCTGCAGCTGTTTTGCAGTGAAAAATCCAGTATGTGTAGACAACACTTCCAGAGCACAGACTCAGCAGAAGCAATCCTTGGTGAAAGCAGAATGCCTGGAAAGCCCATGGGAGTAAGGAAAACAACAGATATCCAACATAGACACCATGAAGGAGAAAGCTAAGCCTTGGAGGTGAAGAATTACCAACAGTGCAGGGGGTTCAAGAGCCTGGAGAGGCCTGAATTAGAATAAAAATCCCAGAAAAGGGAGCTATTTGAACTACATCTGAGGGCAATAACCAGTGAGAGAAGTAGCAATGAGGAACAGAACAATTTTGGGACACAATATTTTGCATCTTCTTTTTAAGTACATCAAGAAACTTAGAGGACATTGAAAACAAAGGCGAGCTGCAATGGGAGTTAAAACAGTGCCACAGCAGGATGCTTTTGACTGTAATTTTAACTTAGCCTTTAAAAAATAACATTTATACAGAAGCCTGAGAAGGGACAGGTGTAGAAGAGGCAAAGTCAAACTGTCTGGAGGGCAAACAATCAGATCATGGCAAAGAACACCCCAGCTCCCCTTCCCTGCCCTGTTCACGCATGCACCTCATACAGGGCAAGGAGAATGGAAGGGACAGGGAGGAACAGACGGATGAAAGGACATCCCTTAAAGATGTGCAGGGCACAGCCAAGTCATCCTACTTGGAAAATGGGAACAGTTGTTACAGCTCTAAGAATTTCCTACCTCAAGAGACTCCCAAAAAGAGACATTAAAAAGCCCATAGATCCACAGAGTAATGCAATTATTATCATTAGCCAATTCTTCCTAACATTTACATTCATTCCTTTACAGTTTAACTTGTCTGTTATGAACAGTCTGTAGTTGGATTTTATAACCTAAATTAAATGTTTAAACACATTGAAAGCAATGCAGAGACCAGGGCCCTAAAGTTTAATGTGTTTGACAAGAACAAATACACAAACTAAGATTAAGCACTCCAGAAAGCATCACAAAATACTTGCAGAACACATCCCTGTGGAGTCACTGAAGGCTGAACTTGCTAAGATGGAACACAATAAAATGTTTACAGCAAAGACCTTCCAACAATACAGAGCAACTCCCATCCAGTTGCTCACTCATATTTTATTTACTGAAAAATTTTTTCAGAAAGGCACTGACACAGCAGGAGCAGCCTGAGTGCTCAAGCACAACACTGTGCATTCCTAGGTCTTAAAGGTAAGATTACATGTAATTTTCTTATTAGTCACAGCCAAAGTGTCTCAAACATAATTAACCTAAAACCTGTCTAAATCAATCCAAATCCATTCAAAATAATGCATTCCCACCTCATTACAGAGCCTGCTAATCTATTCAAACCTTCAAATTTATTCCTGAAAGATAATGTGTGCAGACGCTTCCAAAATGCAATATAGTTGTTAATTTTTGAAACCTTCTTCCCATTATGATCTCATTTACTTTTGCAGCACAAACAAGGGTAGATTTAGGCGTATCAAAACTGGTGATTCACTGAACAGGCTCCTTCCCTGACAGCCACCCCTGAGTCAACATCCCAACAACAGCTCCATGATGTGAAACACATTTTCTTGCATGCTTTGAAATACAAATGTTTTTAACCTTTCTCACTTTGCAGCCGTTGCACAAAACCAAGTGTAGCCGCTGCCAATCCAAAAATGGTTGAAGTTTTAACTTTCTCCTAAAGGGAAAAAAGCCACTCAAAACCAGAATGGGTATTTCTCCTTCCTTGTATGAAGTGGTTTCTTTATGAAACAAGTATGAAATACTTGGGGTTTCAGCATGTTATTATCAAACTCAAGCCAAACTTGCATGTGTGTGCACACAGGCTGTACAGAAAGAATCTTGACAGGTTGCCATGCAAGAGATGTTTTGCACAGAAAAAGTTACTTTCAGGGAACTAAATGTGCTGGCAAAGGTTCATTTCCCCAGCCCTGCCACGCTGGTTTAAGAGAGAGCATGGGCACATCTGCCCTTCAAATGTAAAACAATCCTCCTTCTTTTTGATACTTTGCACACATGCATTTAGCACATATATAAAATTCTTTATATAACGAAGTTTTATTGAAGGCATAGGACTTGATACTTCCAAGAGGAATGAGCAGTAAAGCCACCACGAAAAATCAAGTTTTCAAAGCTAATCAGAAACTTACCTAGATTTGTCAAAATTATCTAATGACCAAAGATAGACACATGAATGTCATTGCTAACATTGGTGAAGCACCAGTCAGCTAATGATGTGCTTACATTAAGCTTTATATATAGCTTCTAATGTTAAGAGAATTATGCCCTTCTTAAAACCTGGTATCTTCTGGTATTATGTGACAACAGAAAGCAATACTACAAATGCCAGTCAAAATACAATTTATCTTCCCTGCAAGATGATTTTCATGAAGCAAACACAAATCCTAAGTAACACCCTTGTTTCTGAGCCAAGCCCAAAGCTTTCATCTTCTGACAAACCAACTTGACAAAACTGGATTTAAATGCTTTACACTCACACAGACAGAACTTCACTAAAGTTCTGTTAATCAGTTCTGCAGTCTCATACAAGTATGTACACTGTGATCACCTCACAAGATCTCATACAGTCCTAATCAGATTTGTTATTATCCTGAATGAATCACTTAGATAAGGTGGGATCTCTCACATCAAATAAAAAAATAATGTTCCTTCGCTCGTAAGGAGGAATTAAAATTGTAATCATGGCCTGTTTCTTACAACCCAAATTCAAGCCCCCCACATTGCTTTCAGTTTAGCTTGGATCAGGCTTTTTAAGCCCAGCAGATCCCACCACCTGATGCCTTTCCAACCAGGCAAGCATCACCTCCATTTATGTCACACCCTCCCCACAAATTCTTTTTTTATGGATATCCTCACCTGAATAAATTTTAGTAGTAACTAATGTAACACAGAATCTTTCAGCAAATGGCTGAACAGGACCCACAGAATTAATTGTTTCTCAGTTATACAAACTCCTGCTGGGGCAGGATGACAAGGGTAAAAAACCACCACCAAACCCTACAAACAAAATTCTGAAGAAAATGCTCACTTTGAATACTAAATTCCTCCTTTTTCTTTTTGCTGTTGTGTTGCAGACCTTGCAAAAAGGACTTGCAAAGTCAACAAATAATCAAAAAGTTAGATAACGTCAAATTGTGAAATATGAAGATGCCACTGAAAAGTGCATTGAAGTGGAATGGTTGTTTACACTCTCTGGCAGTTCCATACTTTCTGGGCTCCCTCCTTCAGTGTTCTTGATTTCCATGATAATCACAGAGATATGCCTTAAAGAAAAATGACTTCAGGAGGTACAGTTGCTAGTGGAAATAATCCGGCTTTAATACCGGCATTTGAATTCTGTCCGTGGCCCACTCTCAGCCCCAGAAAACATCTCCTGCATTCAGTGGGGTAACAATGCTAGGGAGAAACCAACTGCTTTAATAAGTTAACGAGTAAGAGCTCAAGAAACAGGAATAGTCTTTCATTCAGAACATCACTGTGAAATCATGAATCAGAGACACAAAGACATACCAAGTTAATTAGATATATGAGGTCACACTGACCATAATATAATTGGAATGCAAAGGGGAAAACAAGTCCTCCACCCACTGAAAGCTGCCCTTTCTCAACTGATTAGTTTTTTTAAAAATACCCTGCCTGTAAGGTGCTGGGAGAGGAAACACACCACACCACGGTTTAAACACCTTTAAAGTTCTGCTAAATTAATTTACATATTAAAAAAACCTTCAACACAAAAAGCTCGAAAGCTTAAAATCTGCCAATGCCTCCGCAGCTTGGAGCCCAGTGGCACCACATTGCAAAGACGAGCCGCCTTCCCTTTTCTCTGGAAAACCCGCAAAGCGCAGCTCCCGAGGTGACAGCAGCCCCTCATTCCATACAGCGAGTACCAACCACACTGCCCACGTCAGCTCCGAAACAAGGCCAGGATAAATGGAAAAGCCGCTACTCCACAAGCTGCTCCCGCAGAGGAGGGAACCCCCCCGCTCGGGCACAGGGAAAACCCTTCGTGGCATCTCTGGCAACTACGCTGCCAGGGGAAACACGCAGGGAAAAGTTGATACTTGCGACCTCAGCAGTTTGCACAAGGGTCTTTCATCACCGATCACTAGAAGGGGAAGAACATCTAGCAGAGAGAAGTGTCCGACGCACCGGCACCAAAGCGACACGGCCGAGGGGACCGCGGGGCGGGCGGGTCACGCGGGGGGCTGGTCACGGGCACAGCGGGCAGGGGATTCCCGAGGGCAGGGGCCGGAGGACGGAGCCGCCCCCGTTACCTGGCGCTGGCGCTGCCGCCGCCCGCGGGGCTCCTCCTCGGGGGGCTCCGGCCGAGGCGCGGCGGGCGGCGGGCGGGCGCGGAGGGCGCGGGCGGCGGGGCCGCGCTGCCCGCCAGCAGATAGAGCAGCAGCAGCACGGCCAGGCACAGCAGGGCCGCCGCCACCTTGCAGGGCCGCCGCATGGCCGGGTCAGCACGGCCGCATGGCCGGGTGAGCACCGCAGCACGGCCGGGCCAGCAGCGCCGCACGGCCGCGTCCCGCCGGCCGCATCGCCGCAGCCCGGCCCGAGCGGGGACGTGGCCGCACAGCCCGGCCCGAGCGGGGCGGGGCGGGCCGGGCCGCGCCTACCGTACCGCCCGGAGCAGGGCCCGGCCCCGGGGCCGCCCGGCCTCGCAGGAACACCGGGCTGTGGCACGGGACGGCTGATCGCTAAGGCGGCACAGCGAGGAGTGCCAGGCACGGAGCGCGGATGCTCAGCGGGACATTTGGTTTCACGGGTGGGCAGTGCTGGGAGAGCGTGAGTGTGTGCAGCGAGGTGATCAGGAGAAAAAGGGGAAACTCCTCTCGACAGCGCGTTTCCTCTGCCTGGGCCAACAGGGAAAGCGAGCCTCTCTCCGCCTAGCAGCCCGTTTATCACCTGCAGACAGTACGCGCTCCTCACTCCATCTGCACCGAAGGCAGGCAAAGCGCACGAGCAAGTGAAATACTTGTAGAACTGTGAAGCAATAGGGCGCTCATTCACTTGTGGGTGGTTTTGTCCCCGTGTGACCCATCCTAGCCGATCTGTTGTGGAACATCAGCAGGAATCACAACACTGAATTTCACAGAAGTAAATCCTGCTTGGGATGGTCTGATTTACCACCTTGAAATGTACAGAATGACAGAAATACAAATACAAGGATTCTTACTGCCCCATGGAGCTGGAGTACACGGCTGTGCAAAGAATGGAGACACCAACGTTGGAAAAGGGAGGCAAGGGAAAGTGGAGCCTCGCAAGTTCAGTACTGGAGGAGCCTCGTGTGTCCCTCATGGAGCCACTGGAAGTGACACTGGCATTCACTTGGCAGTGGAACTGTGCAGCCTTTTACAGTGCTCAGACCACATGCCTTCACCAGTGGTACCCCAAAATGTACCCTGCCTTAGCATCAGTCCAAATGCAATGAACAGCTATTGTTTCAAGAGTTTCATCCAACTCAGATTGTGGCCAGATATGAAAATGTAAATTACTTCATGCTAAGAGAAAATAGCAACACCAAATGAGAAACTACAGAAAAGCCACAGTGCATAAACATATGCTCTTTCCTAAGAATACATGCACTATAATAAAACCCTACCAAATTTTATACTTAATGAAAAACAGTACCAGTGGCAACCTGCTGAGATCCTCGAGCTGTTCAAATGTGTGATTTTTGTATCATCAATACAATCGCTTCCTTCTCTATATGTGTCAGTTAAGCCCTCTTAGTAATTTTGTTTTGGACTACCATTTCCAAAATTGCCAGATTTACTGGTTATTATTAGCAATGTAGAGCCAATTGTGCTCATCAATTGCAAAGCTTCATGCTTCTACTTCTCCAGCAAAAACAGCAAGTTGTCCTAATTACTTGCCCAAAATGTTGTAGATAATGCATTTTAATTCTGTGCTCCATTAAATATATAACAGCCAAGCTCCCTTCATCAGAAAGATGCACTAAAAGATGAAGTCTTTGTGCATTTCCAAATAAAACTTTTACATTACAGTTCTAAAAAAATTCAGTATGTATTTTACAGAAGAAAGCAGAACACATTCCTTAGAGATGCTACTTCATCCTTTACTTGGATGGAAAAGCAGAATGGCTGATGCACCACTTTCTTCACTAACATCAATATAAAAATAGTTCTTTACAAGGAAAGTATTAGCACAAAAAGAAAAAAAAAAAAAAGGCTGGGAGTATTTAGGCTCTAAAAAAAATAATTCTGAGCCAGTCTTGGAAAGTGTCAGTTAGACAAGAACAAATTCTCAGATAAAACTTCTTTATCTTTCACAGGCTTGTCCTGCAAATTTGAACTTATCCAGAGAAGATGGTGCCTACTGGTTCATAAATCAGCTTCCTGTCTAATATACTTATTACAGATTACTTTGTAAGGTCCAAAAGTTAATTAGTGCTGAAGTTCTGTGGAAATGCATCAGAAGTTTCTGAGGACATGACTGAGGCCTTAGTGCTAAACAAATCAGCATCTGAAATTAGATATCATTAACTTCTTAAAATGGAAGAAAGTTTTTTATGCGCCATGCATCGTCAATTTCTGCACTGGAAAACTGGGACACAAGGAAGTTTAGGCTGAATATTAAAACCATCCATCAATTTTAAATCACTGGGGAGAACTTTCTATTTTGAAGCAAATTATCTAATTTTTGTGCAGTACCTGAACTGCTGGTTCAGTTCAGTGCAAGAGTAAAGATGTTTTCTTAAAAGGAGATGTCATATTCATTGGATTTCCAGGCTGGAGGATTGTTTATCTACTTTTTTTTTTTTTTAACAGAACTTTATTATGAAAGGTTATATAACTATGCTTTTTCCCTCCAGGAAAATATTTGAATGCATTTCAGAGGGGGCAATAAGAGGAAGACAGTCAGCAGCATTATAAAATGTAGAGACTTACCTAGAACCAGAATACCTCTCATAGTCCAAAGGCAGAATAATTAGAATAATTCTACATTAGGTGATATATTTAATAGATGACAGCTTTTTAAACCAACTTGTATGCTCTTGGATCTTCCTGCTCTCCTGTATGTGCTCTCATGCTGTATTTGTTTTGATCCATGAGGTTCTGTCGCCTGTCCATGTTTGCATTAATCCAGTACCTCGGAAGAGCTTTATGTAATTGGGAATTCCTACTCTGACAGTGCTCAAGGGGTCACTCTTCTTTTACTCATCTTCTACCTTATCTGCAGCAAAGGAAAATACAGGTGAGTGTAAACATGACAGGAATAGCACATTTGTTCACAGGAATTAGTACTGGATTAACCAGTGGCTTCACAGAAAAAAAAAAAAAGAAACCGCCTCCCCAACACACTTAAGTTCATTTTCCACAGTTCTTTATGAAAAGCAGCTGCTAAAATAAAATATGTTCAGTCTGTGCAAGACGTTTCATGCAATCGCAGATAAGAATTCATTCTTTTAATTTAAAATCCAGATGACGAATTGTGATTTTCACCCTAAACGACCCAGCATTACACAGCTACACTGCGCTCATCCATACTGCCCGTTACTCACTCCCTTTCCAACAACTCTTGCAAACACCAGGAAACCTCCCCAAATTTACGGGCAGCAAGAGTTTACAGCCGATCTTTAAATGCCGCACGTTTCCCGCAAAGGGGCAGAGCTGTAAACAGCGAGCGTGGGGGAAGAGCCCGCGGGGCGGGGCGGGCCCCCCTGAGGGGCGGCCATGAGGGGGAGCGGGCCCGGCCCGAGTGCGCATGCGCGGCTCCTCCCCGGCGCGGGCGGGCGCGGGAAGCGGCGGCGGGAGCGGCGTGGGGCTCAGTGAGTGACGCGGGCGGGCACGGCTGGGGCTCTTCCCGGCGCTCTTCCCGGGATTCTTCCGCTGGCAGCCGCGTTCCCAGAGGGCTCAGTCCCCTTGCAGGACCCGCTGCTGGGTGGCTAAGGGAGGGTACAAGGCCGCAGGTCGGCGCGTGGCCCGGTGTGACGGCAGCGGTGGGAGGCTGTGTCCAGTTCTGGGCTCCTCAGTGCAGGAAAGTACAGGAGAGAGTCCAGCGGAGGGAACGAAGGTGATGAGGGGTCTGGAGCATCGCTCTGATGAGGAGAAACCCCGGGAGCTAGGCCTGGTTAAGCTGGAGAAGAGAAAACTGAGAGGGGCTCTCATTAATGCGCATAAATATCGCTAAGAGGTGTCAGAGGCCGGGACCAGACGCTGTTCAGGGGTGCCTAGCGACAGGACGAGGAGCCGTGGCCGTAAAATGAAGCACAAAAAGCTCGCCTCAACACGAGGAGGAGCTTTTTTTCCACGGCGAGTGGCAGAACACTGAGCAGGCTGCCCGGGGAGTGTGGAGTCTCCTTCTCTGAGGACATTCCGAGCCCACCGGGGGTTCCTGTGTCACCTGCTCCAGGTGACCCTGCCTTGGAGGGTTCCCCAGGCCCCCCAGCCCCAGGGTTTCTGTGTTTAAAGACCGAGCCTCTTATGCATCAACCCTGTCCCTGCTTAATCCCTCCCTGCCCTGCTCCCTCTGCCTTGTCCTGATGCACAGGAGAGGCTGGGATGTGATTATTTGGGATACCTGGGGTTCGAGTGTTGTGACCCAGTAGTTCCTCAGCTGTGAGATATCAGGGGTTTGTGTAGGATTCCCTACCCACCCACCCAAAAGAGGGGTTTGGGGTGATTAATTTGGATTAGGGATGCTCTGAGTTCAGGGCAGGGAGAGCTGGGCCTGGTTGTGCGGCTGGTGTTTATTTATGAACCTCTGACTGGGAAAATAAAAATGCACACTGGCAGGTCATCCCTGAAGAGTCCAAATAAGCTGTTGGGATTTTGGGAGCTCTTAGCTATGCTTGTGGTGTTGAGAGAAAAATAAAATCCACAGGAAAGTGCATCAGGTGTACAGGTGCAGGTGTTCAAGAAGCCAGGTGTTTTCCTGTTTAGATACAATTCCAAAAAACATCTGGCAGCTTCTCAGCCTAGAATGGGGGGGATGTTGCTCCTGGAATCATGTGATAGGGTGAAATGAGAAGTTTTGTTATTTTTCATACATGCTAAACAAGGCTGATTACCTATATGAGAAAAGGGTGATCTGTTAATTTAGCCTTGTTAATGGTTAATGATTTATGACTGTTCACAAAATGGTCAGAATGGGGATATGTTTAGTAAAAATAAGTGAAAGTCAGTGAAAAGTAGTTCTTTCCCAAATAATAGCTCTATTCTGGTTTTACTTGTTAAAATATTTTTGGTTTAGAAAGCTAATTTTCAAAAGTGTGACCTTTTGTAAACACAAAAAACTCACACGATTCATAACTGGGTTCCAAATTAAACCTGAGATGAAAAGCTATTAAAAGGTCAGACAGTT